CCATAATCACCTTCAACTTGTGGTAGCCATCATGTCCCAATCTTGCATGTCATAGATTTGCTGTCTCATTCTTTCTAGTCTTGTCTACATAGGATAACTCCGTAGATAGGGGGTAAACGAACTCTCCTGTCTCATTCTTTCTAGTCTTGTCTACATAGGATAACTCTGCAGATAGGGGGTAAACGAACTCCCCTCTTTGCAATTCCATTGTTGACTTTCCTATTACCTTAACAACTTTATAGACTCACATCTTTTGGCATAAACAAGACGTATTTTCTTGATATTGTTAGTTATGACACTGACAACAAGTTCTTCTTTATACTTGGTACACGATCTTTTGGCCTAAACAAGACGTAGTTTCTTGATGTTGTTAGTTGTGACACTTACAACAAGTTCTTATTTATACCTGGTACACGATGAACATTATGCAGTGCACCTTGTCAGATTTATTACCAAGCATGACTGTCGTATTGTCGACCTGAGTAATTGGCAACTATGTGTTGTTGGCTGTGTGTACCACACGATTTTCATTATACTCTTTCTTGTTTTATAATTTTCTCTGGTCACCAGTCATTTAGTTTGAGCATCTTGAATCAACAATCCAATCATTCTCATAATCGATATGCTCTTCCACCATCACCGGGAGTGGTATCTCGTTCTAAGATACATAATACCTTTGCATCCTATTTATCCTCCATCTTCATTTTGGAGGTTGTCGCGTTACTTTTTCTTGGACCAACAATCCCCTAACATGTGGACATTCTTTTCGCAAGGGTAGCAAATGCCTTTAAACTTCTTCCCTTGAAAACTCTGGTCAATCTTTTAAGCTCTCCAAGTTGTATAGTTCATTGGTGACTTCTTCATTTGCACCATTTTGTATTAACGAATCTTTTTGTTACTCCAACTTTTCGTGTAGAACACTTTTGTTCACTCTTCAACGTGATGTGTCTCTTTTGCTTAGTCATGGATTCTTGGCTAACTAGCAAAATTTCAAACTCTACCAATGATGGTTTAGTGGGTCATAATTCTACGGCAAAAACAAAATTTCTATATTCTATTCACAATTTGTGGATAAAAATTATCTTCATTTGAGCTTCTTCGATGACAGATTTCAGGTCTAGTTCAATAATCTCCTGACATATCAACTTAAACCTGTGAAAGTACTGAGCAATCCTTTTGTCGTGTTCTGAAATTGAGAACAACTCATTCTCTAGAAGTTGTAACATCGTATCGTTTTTCTTTGCGAAAAGCATTACAAACGTGTCCCATGTGTCTTGTCATCCCGAATGTGCTCCAATATCTCTTATTCGACTGTGGTCTTCAAGGCAAACATTGTTTTTCTTGTTTTGATTCTCCATTTGTGCAAGACACTATTAGGATCCTCCAACGACCTCCCAAAGGTCTTATACTTGTAGGTAGGACATCATGCATGTTGCCCACATATTGTAGTTGTTGTTGAGTTTCTTGATTCCTCCAACAACTTGAAATCACCCATCGTGTCGGCAATAACTTAATAATACCAAACAAACTTTTTCGACTCAAAACTTGCAGAGTCATGGACTACACACAACACAAACAAACTCACTCACTATTAATCTCTAAAAATCGTTTCTGATGTGGAAGATCAGAAAGAGCTACAACCATAGAACATACTAAAATTTAACTAAGAATTTCAAGATATCAAACAACCTACACCAACCTCGCTTTCATTTCAGATTGTTGAACACAACTCTTTGTAGGAAACACTCGTACTCTTTATTAAGACCAATCAAAAAGAGATTACAAGACACTCTATAGAATACTACTACGCTTTGCTTTTCTTGAGATTGCTTGAATTTTCATGGATGAAAACTTTATTAGAGTGGAGGGGTACCTATAGTGTAGTAGAAGCTGACAATTTATTCCTAAATTTAAATATTTATTTCTAAAATATCTAAATCATTTTCCTAAAATCATTAGGTATTTTTATCTCTAAAACACCTAAATTGTTTTTCTAAAATATATAGGCATGGGCTCAAACAATTATTAGGCTTGACCCTATTAGGCTAATGATGATCTTTTAAGAATGCACACTACTCGAAAGTAGTCTAAGAACCTTTTGTATATCTAATTCATGAAAAACACAAGCTATGAAGCAATAGTGAGCAAAGACAAAAGACATCATAGTAACTTCTAACGACTAGGTCGTCATGTTGTTTTTGAAACGTTGTCTTTCTTTGACTCGTATATTTAAGGAAACTTTTGATTTTAGATGAATACATGTTCTTCATTGCTACCTTGGTCAAAATATCGTCCAGTGGCCTAATTCTCTCATTTGAATGATCAAGGCTAATACACCTAATTATTCTATTCAAAGTAGAAGTAGGTTCATGGCTCCGGCTCTTGATTGAAATCAATATCTCAGGTTGATACTAATGCTAAAAAAACCTCAAATACTTAACTCAATCTTAATTCTAATTTTCTCAATTTTTTCAAGATGACATGTTTTCTTCCTTTATTAGATCAATGGTTTAATCAATTGTGGTATTAATTTCGCCTCTTTTTCCATACAACTCATCTTTATAGTTAAAAAGTCTACTAGCAAATTACTTGAGGTCACTCATATTGTGACCTCAGGTTGGTGTAGAGAAACCTAGATACACTAAATATCCAAAACTAATCACATTATATTATTGAACCATGTTCGTGTAGAAGTATCACAACAATTATCATAAGTACGATGCCTAGTTGGTTTGGAAATAATTATTACACTTTAGTCATTGTGAATTTTTGTCTCTCTCAATTTGTGGTCTCATAGCGGTAGGTCGTACTATGAAAATCTCATATCATAGCCTATCTCTATATACACCTATAAAACTTTGTACATGATCGTATCACCTTATCCAAATCATAGTTCAAAAATCACCTCATAACTCCCACACCATAGTCGTTCTCAAACTTAGCTTTATACCTTTCAATTCGTGCCAATGCGAGAATGTTTTCTATATTTCACTATTCCCAAAGCTCAAACTTCACTAAAGACACCCGTAATATTTTTTAAACTAGTTCAAGTGTATAATGATTGTACTTCATGGTGTTAGTTCATAAAATTTCATTTGGTAAGCCTAAATCACCTTCTTCTTCTTCTTTTTTTTTTTTTTTAATTCATACCTACTCTATGATTTCATTTGACACTACCACTCTTAATATCTATAGTAGCCTATAGGATATCACTATGAACCAAGCCTCCTAGGTCATTTTTTTTTAAGAAATTTACTAGTATATGTGGGTATATCCCTTTTTTTTTGTCTCTATGATCATAACGTTGTTGCCTTTATGATCATAACAAATCTACCTTCAATTATTAACAATTATTAGTATTTTGAACGGTTCATAGTGTAAAGTTTGGAATAACAGTTCCAACGTTTTTTGAATTACTTAAATCATAGCTAAAACCAAGAAGTTAAAATTAAAACAAGATGAAATAGGAAATAATTGAGATGATGTGGCTGCTGAATTGGAATCGAAGACCAATTAAATTAGGACACTTTTGAACTTTGAACTTTGGAAGAGCAAGTGAAGAATAAATCTAACAGATTAACCTCTAACATTTCCTCAGAGTCTCTCCAACGAACACTTTACTTAAGCATTTTACGTGGCAAACGCAACACTAATACTCTTTCTTGTCTCGCTACAACTTCATTCTTCTATGCCTTTTACGTATAGTCTGGTGCTCATTTTCGAGCAAATGTTGGTTTAATATTTCTGGTTAAATCACCCATTTTAGGCACGGAGGCAATGACTCAAGAAATACATATGTGCTCACTTCTTTGAGCATTTTTACGGGCTCGCTTCCCTCTCCCATGCTCACTCTACTAGGAACAATTCCACAAGTATCACTTGCCTCTTTCATGCACTTGTGAAATCTTTAATTAACCTTTGAACTCATTTCTCTTACTATCTTGTCTAACATTTTTTGTACCAGTACCTTCAATAGATCTGTCGTTGTTTAAACAAAAATTTCTTGATAGAATCAATTGGATCAACCCTAGAGTCTATCAATTCTTGAGCTTCCACTACGTAACTAGATAGGGTTAATTGGATCAGCCCTAATGCTTACCAATCCTTGAGCTCCAACTGTATTTCTTGATAGTGCCAACTGGATCAACCCTAGAGTCTATTGATCCTTAAACTTCCACTATGTTTCTGGACAGCGTCAATTGGATCAGATGCTTCCATCGCATTTTTGGATAGCGTCAATGGGATCAACCCTAGAGTCTATCGATCTTTGAGCTCTACTGCGTTTTTTGATAGTGCCAACTGAATCAGTCCTAGAGTCTATTGATCCTTGAGCCTCCACCGTTATGGACAACATAAACTGAACAACCCTAGAGACATCAGAATTCCAAGTGTTCCAATGACCAACTATGGTCGATACTTCCACGGAAGCAAATTTATGAGCAGATGCTTCACAACTCTAGTAGCATTGTGCATCAACAAGATTCCCAAATTATACTTCAATATTCGCAGTTCCTCGAATCTTAAGAGCGTTGCCTAGATAACTTTCGATGAAAGAGTTTTCCAAACGCGGATGTTGCTTGCCACGTGAATGAAAATAAGATTTGGAGTAGTAATGATAGATAACACTATATTCTTTCAAGACTTTGATATTTGATACCATAAAGGACCTCGACTCCAAAATCTTCTCGTCCAACTTACCACCTCCACTCTCTCACTACCTCTCAAAATGTATGTTAGAATTGCACGAGAATTTAAGCAAGAACATGACACTCCTCTCCAATCGGACAAATCGACTAGATTTGTGCCAAGGTTGACCTCGCCCACCAGCATCTAGAGTTTATTTATAGATGACATAAGTAGCTATAGATAAGATAATCCATTAATTATTAAGTTTTTTTTAACTCTTACGTAAAAGCTAAATCCATAGGTAAACATCATATTCTTCCCACACAATCAAAAGAAAGCAAGAGTTTGATCCAATTATATAATGTAATCGATATTTTTGACACTAACTCTCAGAATGATTATTCTGAAATTATATTTACACGGTAAATTTCCTGTCTTAAAATTTGTTCAACTAAAATCTCATTGAATGAGATTTCTAGACCAGGTCTGGGAACAAGAAGTTGTATACTCACATGCTGCATTGTTGGTCGGGCTGTTGGGTTTGGATGGATGCATGCAAAAGCCAGCGTTAGTGCAACAACTATTCTTTGAGCTACTCCATTTTGGGTTAAAGGAGATCTTAGACGCATATCCAACCATTCCTTGATAGCTACATTTGGAGTAGATTTCGACCATATGTCGTTTAACAATTCTCGAGGGTGTTTTCCCATTATTGTTTCTAATGCCACTACTCCAAAGCAATAAACATCACATTTTTCTGTAACGACCATCGTGTATGCCAATTCTGAAAATTCAAAAATCAAATAGTTACCCAAAATAAGCCAAACTAAAACTAACTAGTAGGTATCGATATTTGTAATTACCTGGAGCTATGTAGCCATATGTGCCGCGAACCACGGTGTGATTTGAAGATTCAACATCAAGAAATCTTGCTACCCCGAAATCCGGCAGAAAAGCGTCAAGATTCGAGTCCAAAAGTATATTATTGGTTGTAACGTCTCGATGAATGATAGGCATATTGCAATCATGATGTAGGTAGGACAAAGCTTGGGCAACTCTATTAATGACATTTAGTCTCTTATTCCACTTCAATTCCTCTGCTTCTGTATCATTGCTTAGCACCCAAAATAGGCTTCCACTCTCCATGTACTCGTAAATGAGAAACATGCAACGTTTATGGAGGCAATAACCAAGGAGCTTTACGATGTTCTTGTGCCTAATCTCTTTTAGCATCTCAATCTCATTTTGAAAACTCTCGTTAAGGGCTACCCATTTGGCTGCTTCAGAACTATGAAGCTTCTTTAGAGCTACAACTTTTCCAATTGGAAGCATTGCTCGGTAGACGCTCCCAAACCCACCTGTGCCAATGCAATATTTGATATTGAAGTCTTCGGTTGCGTCTATAATGTCTTGGTAAGCAATCTTACCATCATAATTCCATATGGAGAACACATTTCCATGGCTATCTACCTCTGTCACATGGGTGGTATTCTTTGATTTTCGTGAACAATAAAGAGTGAAGCAAACAACGAAAAGGATGAACAAAATAAGCGAGGGAAGAAGGATTTTCAATAGTTTGTGTACTGTGTGATTGTGTGAAGCACAAGAGCGAAGTTGGGAGTGGTTTCCACATAAGTTTTCATTACCCAAACCAACATCTACCCCAAAATGATGAAGAAATTGGTTTGAAAGTGGGCCGTGAAGACAATTGTAGGATAAATCATTGACAGTGTTGGGAGATGTCACAACCATGAGACATGTATGATAATAATGAAAATATGTCATGCGAACTTAGGGATGTCTTATAGAAAAGTGATATTATGAAAAAAAATGGAAATATGACGTGCATGTACCATAATTTGAAATTACATTACCTCATGTATGTTGTATTTCACGAGTATAGAATATTTTTTTAGTATGTTTTGTACAGACACTTTTCTTTAATTTGATGGTGTGAGTGTGTGCTAATCTTTAGTCAGGTCTAGCGAGTATGTATATTAGCTGCCTAGTGGGTTCATGCATGCATGCATGAACCATGCCTAAAAAAATACTATGCATTTAACCCTACCCGAAAAAAAAGTATAGACCAAGGAATAGTTATGAAAAGATAAGTCCCACCACGAACCAAGATTGTATGTCGTGATCTCAACAATGGGGGTACTTATTAAATATTTTTAAATACTCAAACCATGTTTACTATTTTTCAAATGAAGGCAAGGCACCCATGTATGGATGACAACATTAGCGGAGGAGGTCGTGGAAACGAAATCACGATAGTTAGATTTCCACATTTAAGTCATAATATGTAACGATCGGTTAATTTAAAAAAAAAAAAAAAAAACTCAGTCGCCGTAAATACCGCGATGCATGCGGAAACACGACCCCAGCCTCCATGGATCGTTAGATGAGTACCTCCCACACTACTTCCGTCTGCCATTCAATCCCTTAGCTCCTACAAAAGAGAAAATGAAAGGAAAAGTTGAGAGAGAGAACACCGAGTTGGTTTTTTACGAGAGTCCGAAGCAAAACCCAAGCCTAAACAACCATACCCGACGTTGAAATGTTCAGTTGACGCCACGAAAAGGATCCCCGACGACTGCACATCAACCTAGGGCATACCCTTCTCTTACAAATAAATTGAACATTTTAGTGTTACTATGAGCTAGCAAGAAGACCGGGACCTACAAATTATAAGCTTCAATGATATAAAATTAATTAATTAGACTCTTTAATTAATCAATTTTTGTTCATTAACTATAAGTCACCCTACTATAGACCTAGAGTTGCACTCTTATGCACTCTATGATATAAAATTAATTAATTAAACTCTTTAATTAATCAATTTTTATTCATTAACTATAGGTCACCCTACTATAGACCTAGAGTTATTAAACTCTTTAATTAATCAATTTTTATTCATTAACTATAGGTCACCCTACTATAGACCTAGAGTTGCACTCTTATGCACTCTATGATATAAAATTAATTAATTAAACTCTTTAATTAATCAATTTTTATTCATTAACTATAGGTCACCCTACTATAGACCTAGAGTTGCACTCTTATGCACTCTATGATATAAAATTAATTAATTAAACTCTTTAATTAATCAATTTTTATTCATTAACTATAGGTCACCCTACTATAGACCTAGAGTTGCACTCTTATGCACTCTATGATATAAAATTAATTAATTAAACTCTTTAATTAATCAATTTTTATTCATTAACTATAGGTCACCCTACTATAGACCTAGAGTTACACTCTTATGCAAGGACAAGTTATGTTCATTGATATATTCATTACAAGCAAGTTGATCCTTGAGTTGTTGATAATTACAGCAGGGTTCAAAAGTCTGTTTTATCCCTGTAATTACATATTTCACCTTAAGTACCACTGATTCTCTACTGAACAATTTGTTTATGATCCAATCACAAACCAAGTCCCTCTCGGTCCAATGTGAGGGTGGGACCCCATTGTTCAACTCCCGAAATCAGTACTTAAAACAACTCATCTACCTTCCTTATATGGAAATGAGTAAATTCCATCTCATGATATTATGTTCCCAACTCCCTATTTGGTCAAGTCCCCAAAATGGTAGGCATATTGAATCGGGTAACAGAGTCATTCTCACCCATGTAAATTAAAGGACAAGCCCTCACAGACAAAAGTTCATAACTCACTCAAGATTAAGATCGATACAAATTCATTGCATAGGATAGGATACCCCCATTGAAATATTAATCTTCTCAATAACAGAGTCATTCTCACCCATGTAAATTAAAGGACAAGCTCTCTCAAGCACGAGTTTATAACTCACTCAAGATTAAGATCGATACAAATTCATTGCATAGGATAGGATACCACCATTGAAATATTAATCTTCTCAATAACAGATTTATAAAGAGAGATTAAATATTTTTTGGTTCAGTCTTGTACAAATTCATTGCATAGGATACCCCACTTACATGTTTTCACATGAACGATTTGGATCAAATTATTTGTAATGATTACAAAGTGGGTCGTATCAATAGTGTTACCAGGATAAGGCACCCAACTTTATCCACATACTATAGTCCCTTTAGGTTATTACTTGAACATGATCCTCTTGTATGTCAACCACATATTGTTCAAGATTACATTAATAACCTTGGATTTTCATAGAATGGATAACAATTAAATTACAAATGAAATAATAAAAATTATTATTAGAAACTAAATAATTAATTAGGAGGCTTTAGGGCATAAATCTCAATAGTGTCAACCTGCGGCAAAAATCAGCCCTCGGCTTAGCGGCTTGGCTCGACTTCCCGCGACTCCTCAACTTATTCAGCTCTAATTTCCAATTTATAGCCCGATTTCTACCGTTCCGACCCTTTTGAACCTATTTTCGACTTCGATTAAGGTAATTGAGGCCATTTTAGGACCGTATTTCATGTTTACTAGTTGGATATTATTAAATTGTGAAATACTAACGAAATGTGACGAATGATGTGATAGGTAACGAACCCCAGCAACATTTGGAGCAGCTCTTGAGGAACGACTAGATTGAATAGGCTAGAAATTGAATGAGTTATGATATATGACTGATTGTGATGACATAATGATGTATGCAATATTTATGATTTTTTATGTATGAGCTGTATCATATGAGGTTGTACGCTAGTTATATGATGATGTATGAACTATAATATATGATGATGTATGAGCTATGATGCATAATGATGTACATGAGTTATATTACGATGTATGACATATTTGACATGTTTGGTGCATTTAATGGCATTATGATGAGTATGATGTTTTTGCATGATGTTTTCCATATGAAGCATGTTGTATGATGATGAATGCCACATTGCATCATGCAGATAGATTGACCTAGGACATAACCCTAAGAGCATGAATAATGATATTAATATAAATATCTAATGAGCATGTATTACTAAATGTAATATAGAGATAAGGCTAGGGTTGTGTCAGAAGAGATGTTATGATGAGAATTAGAGGGAACTCATGCATATTGTGTGTATACGAGCATTGAGATATTTTCCCTTGAGATGATGAGTGCGGACGCGCACAGTATGATGATGACAGTGATCATGGTGAACATGACACTAGGGGTCTACACCTCTGGATGTCGCTACGGACAACTAGCTTGACTAGAGGGTCCAGAGGGTGTGCGAACCGCTTAGAGATTCACAGTCACACGTGTGGGTCGTGTGTAAGAAAGTACTACACATCCATAGTAGTCTGAACTAGAGGTCACCCTTAGTATGAGATAGAGATAGAGATAGGTCCCTAGAGCATATTTGCATGTGATTGCATTTAGCATGACCCCTATAGCGGGGTCACTTACTGAGTATTCTTTGAAATACTCAGACCGTGTGCCACGTCATTTTTCAAGTAAAGGCAAGTAGTCCATGTACGGATGACGACGGCATCACGAGCAGAGACCATGGCACGTGCCTAAGGTAGATGCATATTTTAATTACTAGTCTTAGGTTAGAATAGGTTGTCTTGCATTTCATTATTTTAAATTAGTTTGTATTTTTTTTTATTTTTGAACTTCAGTATTTCTTTTGAAACACGTAAAACCATGACAATGTTTTCTAGAGATAAAGATGTTTTTAATATTTTTGACATTCATGCTATAAATGAAGTTTCTTTTAACAGTTATATTTTCGAATACGAGTTGAGCATGAGACGCTAGTAGTGATTCTGAGTATTTAGAAATTTAAGGTCGTTACAGTTGGTATCAGAGTTCTAGGTTTTAAATTCTGTAGACGATGTAGGCTTGGTGTCACAGTCATGCATGTCCAAGGCATGTTGTCTATGTCTACATGACAGATATCCCAGTCTTGCTTGTCCAGGACGTGTTGTCCATGGTTGCATGCCCGTTCCAAACCTCTTTTACATACTTTCATCCTAGATAGGCCCTTATCATTTCATATTGGGTCAATGCGGGGTGTATGACCGTTCACCAAAATGATGTCTACACCTGCAAGGGCTAAAATACCCCAAAAGGTGTTATAGGGGGATATGACTAGTTGTCATTTCTTCCTACCCTAAGTTAGATGCTATTTAAGCCGTGATATTCATTTCTTTGTTTATAATCATATAACGTTGATTCTTTCAATTCTTCAAACCAGTTTCCAATATATTTCCTTGCTCACGTTTTCTAAACCTTTTCTCGTAACGTGACTCGAGGCCCGCACATACGGTGATGTTGTTCGCGACGTCCAAATTTCTCAAGGTTAACTTGTTCGCTTGATTGGAACAAGTGCCGCACAATCGCTATTTCACTATCACAAGAACACGATTGTGACAAGTGGTATCACAGTCAAGTCAGCTCCTTAGAAAGTGTTCCGCAAACATGCCCGCTGCAAAACAACTGGACAAGTCCCAGGCTGATCGATTAGCTAAAATCGAATTACAGTTACTTTGCATGAGTGAAGTTCCTGACGAAATAGGGCTTTAAAAATCTCGCATGAATGAGATATCCGCTAAAGCCGACAAGTTCAACGAGATGGCATGCCGCCTTGAAACAATGCCTATCCTTGAATTAATGACTAGGGTCGAGGCCCTAGAAGACAAGACCACAAGAGCTAGTATCTTCAAGCACGAGGATTGCGACGGGCTCTGTTGCCTAAATGGAGGAACGCACCGAGGGCTTAGACAATGCCCAATTGACGATCATTTAGATGGTCACA